ATCTGCGCTATCATTTTATCAAGGATCACGTGGAGAAAGGAGATATAGATATGTACTTTGTAAGCTCAGAGCTTCAACTGGCTGACTTGTTCACTAAGGCATTGGATGAAAAAAAATTCCAGTTCCTGGTCTCCAAGTTGGGCATGTTGAACCTCGAGCCTGTTTAATTTTTGTCTCCACTGGTCTGAATAGTGTGTGTGTGTGTGTGGGACTTGTAAAAAGTGTGTGTGAGTGTGATCTGTAAATAGTGTGTGTGCGTTGCATGTGTTGAGGGGGAGAAAACCAGAAAAATAACAAAAAATAGTGTGTGTGCGTTGCATGTGTTGAGTGGGTGAAAACTCAAAAAGAACAAAAATAGTGTGTGTGCGTTGCATGTGTTGAGTGGGTAAAAAATCAAAAAGAACAAAAATAGTGTGTGTGCGTTGCATTTGTACATATTGTTCGTTGCATTTTTTGGGGGGGAGAAAATTTTCACTGTTTGAGGGGGAGCTAATTTTCACTGTTTAAGAGGGAGTTCTCTAATTTTACCGGTTTTGGGCCTTGAAATTTTTTAAAAGGGCACTGTGTGACAGCCCAATCATTCGGGCTCAACTGTTACGGAGGAGGTCCAAATTTTTTTAATCGCGTATATAAGCCTCGGAAAAACCCTTCACTTCCTATTTCTAAAACTTTTCGCAAAGGCTAAGATTGATTTCGCAAAGCAGAGCTCTTCCCAAAAACTTCCGCTACTTTCGTCTTCTTCGATTCTCTTTCCCGAAACCCTTCAAGGTAGTTCATCCATTGATTTCGATCGTCAAAAACACTTTCAACGAACGATCGATCTCGAAAACTTGTTCGTGTTCGACATCCAAAACGTACGCTTGATTTTTCAAAAATAAACCCTTGAAATTTCTCAAAATCGAAATCAATTTAAGTTTTTAATGTCGTAATCTCGCTTGTAATCGATTTCGTATATCATATCTTTGTTTTTGCAGGTGGTTAATCTCTTCGAAATCAACGGTTCATCTTCTTGAAATCAAGATCTCGAGATGGGCATCTCGACATCTTGATCTCGAGATTTGAATCTCGAAATCAAGATCTCGAGATCTGCATCTCGACATCTTGATCTCGAGATTTGAATCTCGAAATCAAGATCTCGAGATCTGCATCTCGACATCTTGATCTCGAGATTTGAATCTCGAAATCAAGATCTCGAGATCTTCATCTCGACATCTTGATCTCGAGATTTGAATCTCGAAATCAAGATCTCGAGATTTGAATCTCGAAATCATGATCTCGAGATTCAGATCTCGAGATTTGGACTTAGCAATTTTTTTTTTCAAAATTCCACCTGCATAAACTTATCTGACAACTGCAAATCAAACTCTTTCAATCAAATCAAACAGTTGAACTTCATGTGCTGACCCCCTGCTTCTACAGTTTAAAATGGCAGGAAACACTCAAACGCAGATCGATGATGCCATCTATCCCAAAGGAAAATGGATCAAGGTGCTGGACAACAATTTTCAGCTAGACCTTGCGGTGTTCAAGTGTCAGAACCCCATAGTGCCAGCAATCATGAAAGGTCACTATCTCTGGCCTGCACTTCACAACTCAAAACCAGTGCCAGAGATATACCTACAACAATTCTGGGGTCATATGCACACGGATTCACTGAAGGATCGCTCCAAGATCAAGACCAAGTTGAACGGCATGCGGGTGATTCTGACACCATCCACTCTTCGGACTACTCTATCGCTGCCGATTCATGATGAGTACGATGCATTGCCGTCCATCCCAGATCTATTGAAAGACGTGGCGTCCCTAGGCTACACATCACTACTGCCACAGCTCTCCAACTTCAACGGAGCATATCTCCACCATCCGTGGAAAAATCTATTCGGGCTGGTGAACAAGTGCCTGTTGCCTAAGCATGCTGGCTTCGACAAGTGCAACAAGCAAATACTGCTAGTCTTCCATGGGATCGCCTTCAACAAAAACTATGACTTGGCACAGCTCCTCTTCTCAGAGCTAATGGACCTGGTCAAAGCCAAAGAAAAGAACAGGCCAAGTACCATTCCGTACGCAAGATGGCTCAGGCTGATCATACACGACTGCATGGCAGAGCACGCTTCAATACCAAGACGCAGTACTGATCCTCACTTCACAGCACCGAAGCTACAATATTTTAAAGTAGACAAGAATCCTACCTTCGGTCTGAGGATACCTGGATTTCTGCTCAAGCTGGTCAAATCTTCAAATCCAGCAGTCCAGCAGTACAAGGAAGCCACAGAGAAAATTGTCCCTATGGTTCAACAAAACCCAGCTAGACCTACCCCAGGGGCAAAGCCAAGTGTTGGTAAGGGTCCAAAGAGAGCCCAAAAGCCACAGAAATCAGTGGCCGGTTCGCCCAATGAAGGAAAGTCTGACGACTCTCTAGAGATGAGTCAGGCGGCTGACGACTCTCTATGTTTATGTTTTTAATTAGTTTTGCTTGACTTTTACTTTGGAAATTACACACTTTTGGTGTAATAGATTAGATTGTTAAATTCTTGTAAATAGGTTAGATTAGACATTTTCTGAGCTTAAGCAGGTTTTTGTCACCCAAAGTACAGTTGGTGAACCCAAAAAGTGAAGAGAAGGTACAAAAGTTCAAAGACAAAAGAAGATCCTGAATTTTGGTCTATACTCGGTCGAGTATTAGCTATACTCGATCGGGTATTAGGTTGGAACTTCAAATCGGATCAGATCCGAAGACAAAGGAACATGCAGGGAAGATTTTGGCCACGATTCTATGTCTATACCCGATCGGGTAGACCGACATACCCGATCGGGTATGCCTTTAAATTGCAAACGAAGATCGGTCGAGTATAGCCCGAATACCACTTTCTAAGCATACTCGACCGGGTATTCATATATACTCGATCGGGTATGCCTTTAAATTGCAAACGAAGATCGGTCGAGTATAGCCCGAATATCACTTTCTAAGCATACTCGACCGGGTATTCATATATACTCGATCGGGTATACACTTAGAAAATAGCCTGAAACCGGTCGAGTATGCCTCGAATCGGATGTTACACACATACTCGATCGGGTACCATGTATATACCCGATCGAGTACCCGAATCTCATCCCAAAAACCTATAAATACACCTCCTTTCCTTCACAAAAAGATATCCAATCCCTTTGTACATCCAAGCTCAGTATAGAATAGTTCTTTCTTTATATTTTTCATCATGTTTAGCCTCCAAATGAGGAGCTAAACTCTTCCATCTTGGTTTTGCTACTTTGAAGCTTAATGAATTTGTAAGTTGTGAGTTATTTTCTTTAATCTTCTTCCTTGAATATTAATTCTTTCTTTCAAAATACTATCTCTATATCAAAGTCGGGGAGTGTTACTAAGATGACAATTAGTTAACATCTTGACATTGGTTATAGTAATAGCTATTTCTTCCTCTATGATTATATTGGGGAGTGTTGCTAAGATGACAATTAGTTAACATCTTGATATTAATCATAGTAGGATTCATATATTTTAATATTCTTCCTTGAGTATTGATTAATTCCTATTCATATTTCATGTTAATATCTTAAACATTACTTAAAGTATCAACTAGTATTGTTTCTCGTATTAATTATTACTATAATCAATCGGTTAATACGCTTGTTATTAATCCGGTTCTTTCAACGGTAGTAAACTTGGGATATTAATGCATGCATCTCATGGTTAATATGCCAAGGGGAATTAATTATATTGATTAAACCAATAAACCGCTTGTGTTGAGGTTATCAATCTCAATCGTTTTCATCTTAAGTTTATTGCTACTATCAAGTTAATATACGGCGCTTGTTCTATATTGACTCGATAGTAAGTTTTATTAATGAACGCATCTCGTTATTAATAACTACCCTCGATGAACTGGATATACTCCTCGATTGAGTATTCGAGAGGAAGATAGTTAAAGATATAACCGGGATCGACGAACATTTCATTAAGTGGATAAAAGCAAAACCAAGTCCCCATCTCATTGAATTAAACTCATATAGGTCGTTTATCTTAGTGTTATTAAAGCAAACAAATCTAAAGCCCCCTTGTTATTATTCACATAAAAGAAAAGTATTCCTTTCCCTGTGGATACGAACCTTACTACACTATACTACGTATTAGTGTTGTATTGATTAATTATTTTGAGTGCACCTAACGACGAATGCACGTCAAATTTGGCGCCGTTGCCGGGGAAAGGCGATAAATTTTTCTTTTATTTTCATATCAAGAAAAATCAAAAAAAAAATATATATACCAAACAAAAAAAAAAATATAAAGAGTTCTTATTTTTTCTATTTCCTGAGCTTAGTGGAGTTTATGGTTAAACATCGTTCCATAAACGAAATCACATATCACAAAAACCCAGAAATAGAACAAACTTTCGAGCGGTTGAAAAGTAAATTTTCTAACACCGACTCGGAAGAATCATCTTCCAGAGATTCATACACCGCTAGCTCTAGTTCTAGCGACACCGAAGAGTCAACCACAATGGCTCTTGAAACAAGGACACTGAGGGAGCTCACAGCTCCAAACCTCAACCAACAACCACTGTGTATTACCTTCCCTACACTTGATGAGGGTAATACGTTTGAGCTAAAATCTGGGCTCATTCATCTGCTGCCATCCTTCCATGGCCTGAGGGGAGAAGACCCGAACAAACATTTATCGGAGTTCCACGTCGTTTGCACAAGCATGTGCCCAAACGGTGTGACAGAAGAACAAATCAAACTGCGGGCATTTCCATTTTCACTGAAGGATACCGCAAAGGATTGGCTATTCTATCTTCCTTCAGGAAGTATAGGAACATGGGCGGCCATGAAGAAATCGTTCCTGGAAAGGTACTACCCTGCCTCTGTCTCATCTTCTCTAAAAAAACAAATCAGCAACGTGGAGCAGAAGGATGATGAATCGTTCTACGAATATTGGGAACGATTCAAGAAACTGTGTGCAAGCTGCCCTTATCATGGCTATTCGGAGCAAGACCTCATCTTATATTTCTATGATGGTCTTTGCAATGAAGATAGGCGGATGATAAACGCCGCATGTGGAGGAGGGATTGTCAACAAGACCCCTTCTCAAGCTACAAACCTCATCTCGGAGTTGGCCGAGAATTGTAGGCACTATGATCGGCGATCAACAAAACGAGTTATGGCGGCAGAATCCAACAACTCATTGGAAAGTCAAGTAGCCAGCTTGACTTCTTTGGTTAAAGATTTTCTCTTAAATCCGAAACCTCAAGAAGTCAAGGTCTGCGGCATATGCTCGACACAAGGGCACCCCACCGACTCTTGCCCAACACTACAAGAGGAGAACGTTGAACAGATCAATGCTTTGGGTTTCCAAAATCAAAAGAGGTATAATCCTCAAAGCAACACCTACAATCCGGGATGAAGGGATCATCCTAATTTAAGGTACGGAAACTCTCAACCTCCTCAACCATCAAATCCTCCTCCTCCACAATATAAACAACAAGGCCAAACTTCTAACTCGAATATGTCAACCGAAGACATGATTCGATCACTTGCCATGAATATGGCAACAATGCAACAAAGTGTGGTTCAATTCCAAGAAACAACAAAATCCAGCATCCACAACTTGGAAAACCAAATCAGCCAAATCTCAAATGCCGTGAGTAGGCTTGAAGCTAAGGATTCGGCAAGGCTACCATCTCAAACGGAGCCAAATCCTAGGCAACAAGCCCATGCAGTCACATTGCGGAGTGGCAAGGAGTTGGTTATTGCCAAAGAGAAGGCAAAGAGCCACATTGGCGAAGAGGAGGAAGAAGAGGAACTGGTGGAAGTGACTCAACCGGAGGTGGAAGCTCAAATCCCAACCCCACCACCGGTCATTCCCGAGATTGAAGCACCCTTCCCCGAGGCTCTAAGGGAAACACGAAAGCTGGAGAAGGACAAGGACATCTATGAGACATTCTCCAAATGTGAGGTAAATATCCCTCTCCTTAACTTGATAAAGGGTGTCCCTAGATTCGCAAAATTTTTCAAAGAACTATGTACAATAAAAAGGAAACATAGACTCAATGGAAAACAAAAAGTCCAAGTTAGTGAACGTGTTTCGGCAGTTTTTCAAAAGAAACTTCCAAAGAAATACAATGACCCGGGCATGTTCACTATACCTTGCAAGTTGGGAGGAACTACGTTTTCAAAAGCCATGCTCGATTTAGGAGCATCAATTAATGTCATTCCTTACTCTTTATACAAATCACTTGAGCTTGGCCCTTTAAATGAAACCGGAGTAGTCATTCAACTTGCGGATAGATCAAATGCCTACCCTAAAGGTATTGTCGAAGACGTACTAGTTATGGTTGACAATTTGATTTTCCCCGCTGACTTTTATGTTTTGGAAATGGAGAATGATAAGAATGCGGTACCTATCCTTTTAGGAAGGCCATTTTTAAAAACCGCTAGAGCAAAGATTGACGTATTTAGCGGTTCCTTAACAATGGAATTTGATGGGGATAAAGTTGAATTCAACATTTATGACTCCATGAAATATCCAAATGAAAATCATTCTTTATTTGCCATTGATATTGTTGACCCCCTTGTACAAAATACTTTTGAAATCAATAAAGAGGACGAATTGTTAAGTATACTTGAAAATGACTTCGGAGAAAACTCTTCAGAACTTGCCCTGACCCCCAACACACAAGCTATGATAGTGGAATTGGATACTCACTTCCAACTCCCACTTATGCCACCGGGGTCTAGGGCATTTCCACTAACCATCCCCGAGGAGAAGCCTCTACCTTCAGTTTTGCAGGCACCCGACGTTGAGATGAAACCACTCCCAACACATTTGAAATATGTGTTTTTGGGGGAAAAAGAGACACTACCGGTCATTATCTCAAACAATATGACCGGAGAACAAGAAGGCAAATTGATAGCGGTGCTCAAGGAGCATAAACTAGCAATTGGATGGACTATAGCCGACATCAATAGCATTAGTCCATCTACTTGCATGCATCGCATCTTAATGGAGGATGAGGCCAAGCCGGTACGACAGCCGCAACGAAGACTAAACCCACCTATGATGGAGGTGGTCAAAAAAGAGGTGATCAAACTACTCCAAATGGGGATAATCTTCCCCATCTCCGACAGCAAATGGGTTAGCCCAACCCAAGTGGTCCCAAAGAAAACCGGAGTCACGGTAGTGGAAAACAAACATGGAGAACTAATGCCCACCCGAATTCAAAATGGATGGAGGGTATGTATAGATTACCGTAGACTCAATGCGGTAACTAGAAAGGATTTCTTTCCTTTACCCTTCATCGACCAAATGCTTGAGAGACTTGCCGGGCATAAGTTCTATTGCTTTCTTGATGGCTACTCCGGGTACTTTCAAGTGCCTATAGCCCCTGAAGATCAAGAGAAGACCACTTTCACTTGTCCATTTGGCACTTTTGCATACCGGCGCATGCCATTCGGACTTTGCAATGCCCCGGCCACATTCCAACGATGCATGATGAGCATATTCTCTGAATATGTTGAGCTATTTATGGAAGTCTTCATGGATGATTTTACAATCCATGGAGACTCATTTGATTCATGCCTACTTCATCTATCTCTTGTTTTGAAGAGTTGTTTAGAATCAAATCTTGTTCTAAACTCTGAAAAATGTCACTTTATGGTGGAGGAAGGAATTGTCCTAGGCCATGTAATTTCGTCCAAAGGAATAGAGGTGGACAAAGCAAAAGTGGAGGTTATCCAATCACTACCTTATCCTACCACCGTCAAGGAGATACGATCATTCCTTGGACATGCAGGTTTCTACAGGAGGTTCATCAAAGATTTCTCAAAGATTGCATCTCCTTTATGCACACTTTTGCAAAAGGAGGTGGAGTTCATATTCTCCGAGGACTGCAAGAAGGCCTTCAATACTTTGAAGGAGAAATTAGTAACCGCACCTATCATCCAAGCCCCGGATTGGTCTCTCCCCTTTGAGATCATGTGTGATGCTAGTGACTATGCGGTCGGGGCCGTTTTGGGCCAAAAGGTGGGAAGAGCATCTCATGTGATCTATTATGCATCCACCACACTCAATGACGCCCAACGCAACTACGCCACCACCGAAAAAGAAATGTTGGCCGTCGTTTATGCGCTCGAAAAATTCAGGTCATACTTACTTGGTACCAAAGTGATCATTTACACCGATCATGCGGCTATTAGGTTCTTGATGACAAAGAAAGAGGCCAAACCACGGCTGATTCGATGGATACTACTCCTGAGCGAGTTTGATGTTGAGATCAAGGACAAGAAAGGCATGGAGAACTTGGTGGCCGATCACTTAAGCCGTTTGGTCTTGGGAGAAGGAAACAATCATATCAAAGATGACATCCGAGGCGAATTTCCCGATGAGACCCTTTTCTCCCTTAAGGAAATTCGTCCTTGGTACGCTCACATTGTTAATTTCCTTGTTCTAAACAGGTTTCCACCAAGCTTCTCTAAAGCTCAAAGAGAGAAACTCCAGCATGATGCAAAGCAATACGTATGGGATGAACCATATTTATGGAAACATTGCAAAGATCAAGTCATTCGAAGATGCATTCCCGAAACAGAAATTGCATCCATACTTGCTTTTTGTCACTCACATGCATGTGGTGGCCACTTTGGAGGAAAACGAACATCCATGAAGGTACTTGAATGTGGTTTTTGGTGGCCAAGCTTATTCCGCGATGCACATGTCTATTGTCAATCTTGTGATAATTGCCAACGCATGGGCAACATCTCTCGAAAGCAAGAGATGCCACAAGTTCCTATGCTCTACGTGGAGATCTTTGATGTGTGGGGAATAGATTTCATGGGACCTTTTCCTAATTCCCATGGAAATTTATACATTCTATTGGCGGTGGATTACGTATCCAAATGGGTGGAAGCAAAAGCCACAAAGACCGATGATGCCAAAGCAGTGACTGAATTCCTCAAAACCCGCATCTTCTCAAGGTTTGGGGTACCACGCATCTTGATAAGCGACAGAGGCACTCACTTCTACAACAAAACTGTGAGTACCTTGTTAAAGAAATATGGCGTCACACATAAACTCTCCACCGCCTACCATCCACAGACAAACGGTCAAGCTGAGGTATCAAACAGAGAGCTGAAATCAATTCTTCAAAAGACAGTAAATCCGAACCGTAAGGATTGGAGCCTGCGCATGGATGATGCCTTATGGGCATACAGGACCGCTTTCAAAACCCCAATTGGAATGTCACCCTATAGACTCGTGTTCGGTAAGGCCTGTCATCTTCCGGTCGAACTCGAACACAAGTCTTATTGGGCGTTCAAAACATTCAATCTCGACATAGCTAAAGCAGGAGAGCAAAGGAAGCTACAACTCCAGGAACTAGAAGAGCTTCGATTGGAGTCCTATGAGAATGCCGCCATCTACAAGGAAAAGACGAAGGTATGGCATGACAAAATGATAATAAGAAAGGATTTCCAAGTTGGAGACAAAGTCCTTCTTTTTCTCTCACGCCTTCGCCTTTTCCCCGGAAAATTGAGATCACGATGGGAAGGACCATTCGAGGTGGTCAAAGTCTACACCCATGGCGCAGTGGAAATAAAAAGCCTCGATACCGGAAAAATCCTCAAGGTTAATGGACATCAACTCAAACCATTCCTTGAAGGTTTCCAGAAAGAAAGCATTGAATGCATGGATCTCATCGATCCAATCTTTGAAGAATGAACACAACAATGGCGTCGTGCCGCGACGTTAACTAAGGTGCTTCTTGGGAGGCAACCCAAGCAAGGTACATTTTTCTTTTATTGTTAACCCCCCCTGTCAATGTTTTCAATTATGTCTTTGAGAGGTTGAGAGGGAGGGCACTAATCATGGGTTTTTGAAAAAAAAAAAAAAGAAATAAAAAATTTTTGCAGGTTTTTGAACATCTGGGGACATACCCGATCGAGTATAACCTTATACTCGGTCGGGTATGAGCAAAAAAAAAAGGGACCGGGCACTACTCGATCGAGGGAGCATTCAAAATTTGAAAAATAAGCAATACCCGATCGGGTATCACTATACACCCGGTCGGGTATCGCTAGAAATGCTAAAATTGAAGGGGACTGATTCCCACACTCGACCGAGTACACGCTTCAAAAATGAAAAAAAAAAGCACATACCCGATCGGGTATGGAGGAATACTCGACCGGGTACAGGAGACAGGCTGCTCAAAAAGTACATTTTCTAAGCATACTCGACCGGGTAACCCCACCATACCCGATCGAGTACAGGAGGCAGGCCGCTCAAAAACTTCACTTTCCAGCCATACCCGACCGAGTACCAGCACATACTCGATCGGGTATACGGGTCTTATAACCCCAAATCAGCCCCAAAACACTTCATCTTCCCCAAATTCCCAACCCCATCTCGAACAAAAAACGCCCAAACCCCATTTTTACACCTTCTCTCTACCATATCTCTTCCAAATCTTCACCAAATCCACCCATTCCAACGCCAAAACACTCCCCTCATCCTCCTCTACACATTCATACCCAACAATCCCATTCTCCCCCAACTTTCAGAGGTCCGAAAAACCCTACCCCACCATCCCAATTTCGGTTTTCAAAGGCCAAAATCACTTCAAATGGCTCCAAGGAAAGAGAAAGGGCAGAGCTCAAGCACTAGGACAATCATCCCGGGCTACGAGGACATCCTTTTCGTGGACAACGAACAACGCACACGCTTCTTGTCCACAATTGAAAGGCAAGTCAAACCTTCCCGCTTTTTATGCCTTGATGCTCTAAAGGAATTAGGAGTATACACAATAATGAAGAAATTTTTTCATGAATTGCATATGGATAAAATTTTCAAAATGAAATACAACTCAAATGAAAAAATTATCTATGAATTCCTAAGCTCGGTGCACTTTGAGAACAATGAGGAGGACTTTAGAGATGATAAACTCAGGTTTCGATTGTTTAATCACAATCACACCATCACGAAACTTGAGTTTGCCGAACACTTTGGTATTCCGGTCCCGTACCAAAAGTCTATATCCGACAATACCGCCTTCGGCCACACCCTATGGACCAAGATGACCGGGGAGACCAAATTTAGCTCCTCCCAACTATACATTAGTCATGTCCAACATCCAGTCCTACGCCTCTTTTTGAAATTTCTTGCCAACTCCTTGCTTGGACGTCCCAACAACCATCATACAAGGATGGGGGATGTATGCCTCATCTCGGTTGCCTTATTCCGTATCCACGTGGATTTCAACCTCTGTAATCTCATGTGGGCTCATCTAAAGAAGGAAAGTGTGGCAAAGGGTGCTATCGTAGTGGGCGGGGTGATTATGCACTTGGCCACAAAGTTCGGGTATACGGATGACTCTCCTATACCCGACTACTGTTTAATGAACATATCTTGGCTAGGCCACTCGGGCTGTACTTCTTTTTCACACACCGTTTATGGTGAAGAAAGGCCCAAAAATATGTACAACTGGCACATCCACCCCAAACCCCTCAAATACTTCCTCTTGCCCAACCCAGAACTCCCCCAACTCCACTTCGAAACAGGCAGGCCGGATCAACATTACCTCTTCCCAAACGCCCTCCCACCACATCTTCAAGAACCGGAACAGGAACTCCCCCAAAACCAACCCGATGACGAGCCCTACGAGCAACTCCATAGCCATCCAACCATGAGCCATGATTTCCCAGAACAAAGCCACAACCCTCCACCACCCGACTTCTTTCAACAACTTTTGGAGGGTCAACAACAACTTCTTACGGGAATAGCCCAAATGGACAACCGGCTCAACCGATTAGAGGAAGAGCAAAGAGCCGGTTTTCAAAGATTGGAGGAAGAGAAAAGGGCCGGCTTTCAACGTTTGGAGGAGCTCCGGGAGGCCGATAGACACCGGTATGAGGAAGACCAACATAGGTTCTACGGGCCTATGTACTCGTTTATGGCACAGCAGGGATCCTTCCATACCATGGCGAACCCTCCTCCACCACCCTCATGGTATGACCCCACTCATTGGGGTAACTTTGGAGGATCTGGCTCCGGTGGTGGAGGGTACGACGGCGGAGATGGCGGGGACACTTACATGGGAGATGGTGGCCAAGGGAGCGGTTTTGGAGGGAGCTACTACGGAGGAGAAGGCGGGCACTAGGGACAGTGCGTGATTCAAGTGCGGGGGAGACACTCATGATGGTATGTAATTCTCATTTGTACCTAGCACTATGCATGTAATTCTTTTGAACTTTTACACTCAAAAAAAAAATGTACAAAAAAAAAAATAAACAAAAGAAAATAAATGCTAGTTAGGTTGAAAACCCAACAAAATGGGCAATCTAAGCAAAAAAGGCTTATATAAAAAAAAATGAGTGAGTTGGAGAGAATGGAAAATGAAAAGAGGTGCTAGGATGAAAACCTGAAAAGGCTCCTAGGCAAAATGAGAGATATGAGAGAAATGTTTGATCTTGCAGGCACTCATTGTATCCTTATGAAGAATATGAAGATTCAAGATAAAGAAGAAGAGAGGAGGAGAAAAGAAGACAACACTAGGAGGCCATTAAACCCAAGATGCTCTTTTGTGATTTGAGTTCAAAACTCATTTTTTGTAATCCTTGGTGGTCTTTGTGTTTGTATTATCTTTTTGTTGAACTGTGGAACTTTTGGACAAACATTGACACTTGTAAACATTTGATCTTACTCGAGACGAGTAAAGGTTTAAGTGTGGGGGAGTTGATACGTTCGTAATTTCCATTTCTATGTTTATGTTTTTAATTAGTTTTGCTTGACTTTTACTTTGGAAATTACACACTTTTGGTGTAATAGATTAGATTGTTAAATTCTTGTAAATAGGTTAGATTAGACATTTTCTGAGCTTAAGCAGGTTTTTGTCACCCAAAGTACAGTTGGTGAACCCAAAAAGTGAAGAGAAGGTACAAAAGTTCAAAGACAAAAGAAGATCCTGAATTTTGGTCTATACTCGGTCGAGTATTAGCTATACTCGATCGGGTATTAGGTTGGAACTTCAAATCGGATCAGATCCGAAGACAAAGGAACATGCAGGGAAGATTTTGGCCACGATTCTATGTCTATACCCGATCGGGTAGACCGACATACCCGATCGGGTATGCCTTTAAATTGCAAACGAAGATCGGTCGAGTATAGCCCGAATACCACTTTCTAAGCATACTCGACCGGGTATTCATATATACTCGATCGGGTATGCCTTTAAATTGCAAACGAAGATCGGTCGAGTATAGCCCGAATATCACTTTCTAAGCATACTCGACCGGGTATTCATATATACTCGATCGGGTATACACTTAGAAAATAGCCTGAAACCGGTCGAGTATGCCTCGAATCGGATGTTACACACATACTCGATCGGGTACCATGTATATACCCGATCGAGTACCCGAATCTCATCCCAAAAACCTATAAATACACCTCCTTTCCTTCACAAAAAGATATCCAATCCCTTTGTACATCCAAGCTCAGTATAGAATAGTTCTTTCTTTATATTTTTCATCATGTTTAGCCTCCAAATGAGGAGCTAAACTCTTCCATCTTGGTTTTGCTACTTTGAAGCTTAATGAATTTGTAAGTTGTGAGTTATTTTCTTTAATCTTCTTCCTTGAATATTAATTCTTTCTTTCAAAATACTATCTCTATATCAAAGTCGGGGAGTGTTACTAAGATGACAATTAGTTAACATCTTGACATTGGTTATAGTAATAGCTATTTCTTCCTCTATGATTATATTGGGGAGTGTTGCTAAGATGACAATTAGTTAACATCTTGATATTAATCATAGTAGGATTCATATATTTTAATATTCTTCCTTGAGTATTGATTAATTCCTATTCATATTTCATGTTAATATCTTAAACATTACTTAAAGTATCAACTAGTATTGTTTCTCGTATTAATTATTACTAGAATCAATCGGTTAATACGCTTGTTATTAATCCGGTTCTTTCAACGGTAGTAAACTTGGGATATTAATGCATGCATCTCATGGTTAATATGCCAAGGGGAATTAATTATATTGATTAAACCAATAAACCGCTTGTGTTGAGGTTATCAATCTCAATCGTTTTCATCTTAAGTTTATTGCTACTATCAAGTTAATATACGGCGCTTGTTCTATATTGACTCGATAGTAAGTTTTATTAATGAACGCATCTCGTTATTAATAACTACCCTCGATGAACTGGATATACTCCTCGATTGAGTATTCGAGAGGAAGATAGTTAAAGATATAACCGGGATCGACGAACATTTCATTAAGTGGATAAAAGCAAAACCAAGTCCCCATCTCATTGAATTAAACTCATATAGGTCGTTTATCTTAGTGTTATTAAAGCAAACAAATCTAAAGCCCCCTTGTTATTATTCACATAAAAGAAAAGTATTCCTTTCCCTGTGGATACGAACCTTACTACACTATACTACGTATTAGTGTTGTATTGATTAATTATTTTGAGTGCACCTAACGACGAATGCACGTCACTCAACAAACCAACAGCCACCACCCACAGCCAACTTATCTAGCACGGTCGAGCTAGAAATAACATCCTGAGGCGTATCTCCCAGAGATACCAACCGAGGAGGGGATGGAAGTCCTGATGACGTTACCACTGGTACATCTTCTGCATCAGGCCATCAGTTGGAACCTAGTTCTAAGCTGATGTCAACGGGCAATCCGAGTGAACCCGGTTGTGCAACTAAGGAACAATCACCGCCTCAAAAACAACAAAGAGTTCCATATATTTCCCCAGGCAAAGACATCCATGATGCACTGGAGGAGGCGGTGATATATGACAAATGGCCGAGACAATGGACAGAATGGGATGATCTTCGGAATGAGGCTGAACAAGAGGACATGCAAAGAAATTGGTGGCTACGAGAGCTAATTAACAAATGCTCTGAAGATATCATTAGGCTCGAGGACAATGAACGCAAGGAAAGGGAGAACTACAAGGAATCCCAGAAAACTCTTGAATCCGTCGTAAGACAATCAGCGGGAAGACTTCCCAAGACAGAGAAACCCTGGGATAACGTTCGTATCAAAGCCACTTTCCAAGAGGAAATCAGAGAGCATATCTGGCGTAGACCAGACAGAGTCAAACCGCTGAATGAACTGAAGCTAAGAGGCCTTACTCATTTAAAAGGAAAGCAGGCTGGAGGTCATCTGCATATGCTGCTACAAAGGTCAACCGGTACTCAGAGAGAACTGATGGAACAAGATCTGAAGTCAAATATTCTCCCGATTCATCAAATTCTACAAGTGAAGGCTGAAGATTATCATGGAGTGACATTCTATACATACAAGCTTCAACGCACTGACGGGAGCGAATTTACTTGCCAAGAGAATGATTTCATCATGCTGAAACCAGACGACATATATCAAATGTTCATGGCCTATAGATACCTTCCCGTCAGGCAGAGCATAACATACAGCAAAGGTCTCGCAGCAATCAAGAGATTCATGCTTAGACAGATCAGAGTACACTCTTCACATGACCTACAGATGGCTATTGAGTGCAATCTGAAAAAGACAAATCTGACAAAGCCAAGACTGTATGGTCCAGAACTTGAAGACTTCCCAGCCTACCACATCTTCTTCACACCGCCAGCAGTCACCTATCTGAACCACAAGAACGAAAAACGTCTGATGGTAGTTAGTGAAATTGAAAAGTACTGTGACGAAACGCTGAAGATAATAAAAGAACAGCTTCTAAAGATGAAGGCAGAGCTAGAGGAAAATCATCAAGAGGCATCGTCTTATGTTCAAAAGGAACACTCTATAGTAGAGACAATCTTAAAGGCCATTGACGATCGCCTCGAAAAGAGAAATATGCTGAGGCAATATGAACATGCACTTGGTATGAGGAAGCACTACTTCAAGTCGCAGAAGCAATAAGAGAATGGCACTTGATCACAAAGGGGGAGATTGTTGGAGATATTTAATTGTGAATCAAGTTTGTCATAGATTAGCTTTGTATTTAATCCTTGTATTTAAACTAATGCATGAATTAGATAGCAATCGGGCCAAGTGTTAGGCCCATATAAACAGGCTAAAAGCCTTGTACGCCTAACCTAAACCTCGCCTATAAAAAGGGAGTCGAGGGTTTAGGATTAGGTTAACGTCGTACTTATTCTTCATAGCCTTACGCGCATACTTTTGTGTTGTACGAGTTCACGGCCTATCAAAGAGGGTTTTACGTTGATTCATTCTGTGTTCATCCTTACGTTTAATCTTTGTCGTTAGATCGTTATTCATTGCTGTTACAGAAACAGGGACTAACACCTTGTACGCCTAACCTAAACCTCGCCTATAAAAAGGGAGCCGAGGGTTTAGGATTAGGTTAACGTCGTACTTATTCTTCATAGCCTTACGCGCATATATTTGTGTTGTACGAGTTCACGGTCTATCAAAGAGGGTTTTACTTGATTCAATCTGTGTTCATCCTTACGTTTAATCTTCATTGTTAGATCGTTATTCATTGTTGTTACAGAAACAGGGACTAACAGAGGGAGTGTCAACGAGGTTAGCTTGGATTTTGAAATCATTAAGATGTTGAATATAGTAGGCCGAAGGTGGGGTGGGCCCAATCCTTTCATTCGGACTGCCTACACAGTTAAAATCACCCATAACAAGCCAAGAAAGTTTGATGTTGGGTTCAAAATTAGCAATGTGTTCCCAAAGGTTCCTTCTCTAAACCACCGTGTAGAGGGCATAGATGAAAGTCACCAAAAAGGTATGTTGAGTGACCTTACAAGTAATTTCACAATGAATGTGTTGAGTATCAACTTTTTTTTTTACCCCGGAAGGCAAACCACCAAAATCAGTGGGGCAAATGTCGGGGGTCAGATGCCATGTTTTATTAAGATAAGAGAGCTACAATAAAGAGGGGGACTAGGCCAATACCTCTTTAGAAAACAGAAATACATCTGAAAATTAAAATCTAATCGAAGGAATTCCAAACAGATCCATAAAATAAGCACGTTGGGCTTGAATAGGTAGAGAATGCGGCCCATTAAAGATTTTTTGGAGGTGGCTCGTATGCAACGAGGCAAGATAATGGGCTACCCAGTTACTTTCTCGCAGACAGTGTCCGAATACCATCTTCTTCCTATCTGCAATCAACCGACTTTCTTGAAGGAGGTCCGACCATCTTCGGGTTTCCTTATTCCGCATCAGTTCCAAAGCTTCACTCGAATCAGATTCCACCTGAAGATCAACAAATCCTTCATTATCCGCCCATTTCAGAGCATACATCAGCGCTTTAAGGTTAGCATACGAAGGGTCCCAAAGAAGAGCCATCCTACCTCCATCAATCTTGTCAAAGTTAGTCATAGATTGCCAATTTGGCCATCTATTCGACATCATTTTATCAAAATTGATAGTGGACAGTTTGGTTTCAAGTAAGCAACACACATGAACATTATGAGGACGCATGAAAGAGAGTATTGTATTCTGTTTGGAGGCCTTATTAAGGCCTCTTACATTCCAAGAAGACACAAACATAAAAACAATTAGGTATGTTTCCTCCCTCCTCCTTTGGTGTTCTTCTCATTTGGTTTCGGTTTAAGCCAAACCTTGGGCCTCGGCTTATATCTATCCAAAAATAGGAAATAGACATTCTCCATAAAAGTAGGAGATACCACAAATTCTTTATCCAAAGGGAAGATCTCGGGAAAAGATTTCAAGCATTCGGTAGTGAAATTAATGCCCATGTTCATCATATTGGTAGTAATCTCCAAATAGTTATCAAGTCTAGTTATGTCATGCTTAACATCTCCAAGATGTTTAAGGTATATATCCGGGCCCTTAACTTTATGAAAGTCAACCTTGACAATCACATCATCAAGAAAGGCATCACGGATATCATTAACAAGTCTCACATCATTAGGAGTATGTTTTCTATGATCTTTGAGTTTAAAGTCATTCCCTTGAAGACATCCATCCTCATAGTACCTATTTAAGTAATGTCTATAAACCCCTTTCATGAATCTAGGAGAAAAGACACAGTCTTTTTCAATAAGCTTCACCCCGGGAAGCCTTTCTAAGCATTCCTTAGTAAAAATCAGTCCGGGATCATTGTCATCAACAATACGGAGATTTTGATTAAGCTTAACCGTAGGAATGTCAACCTCGCTACAATTTTTGAGTTTAATGATAGGATTAGGAACCTCATCAGGTTCCATATCAACCACAACCTCATCAGTATAAGATTCAATGAGGGTTGTTTTAAGAACCCGGACAGTTTCATCAATGTGGATATCAACATCCTTAAGGGGAGGATCAACACTTTCCTCCTCTTCCTCCCTAGTGTATTTTCTAGCCCCTCTTGTATATCTATTCACTCTAAAGAAGGGATGATCAGTCTTTTTGACCTTAAACCCCTCATTGTTATGAGAATCCGAGGCCATGGGTTCCTTTCCTTCCCTAAGTGTGGGAATAGGAATGTCACTATTCTTCTCAAGGGTAGGAGTATTAGTAGTCCCATCCTTTTATCCCTTTTCCTTCTTCTCAATTTCAGCCAACACTTTACAAGTGAAAGCATGGTGACCAAAAGTTTTACAATGAAAACAATAGTTAGGGTATGTTTCATACCTAACATATTGAGTATGAAATCTGCCATTGGGCAGTTTGATCTTAAGTTCAAGTGG